CGCGAGGTCGGATGCTACTCGGGTTGAGTGCCCGCGGGTCTGACTCGGTTCTCTGCAGCGAGTTCAACATGGAGGCCGAGGCGCCACGCGACCTGTCGCGCCTGCTTTGTCTCGGCGGACCGGGCGGCAGATCGCAAGCGGCAGCGCGTCGGCGCGCGCCGCCTGGTTCGAGGACTCGTCCACGTTCCGACATGCTCCCGCGTCTGTGTCTGTTCCTGGGGATGTCCGTGACTTGTGGCTTCGGAGGCGTGCCAGTCTCTGGAGGGCTATCGGGGGCCAGCGATTTGCTGCTCCAGGTATCTGACTGAGCGGGGCCCACCTCTGGCCTTGATGGAGAAGGCTGACGATTCGCATTATCCATGGCGAGCGCGGGATTGGTCGCCCTCGGCGCCGGGGGGGAACTGGTCGGGCGGCGCGACGCAGTCGGTCCGGATGTTTTGAAGCGCAGAGGTTGCGCTGGCGCGGCCAGACAAAGACGCGGGAAAGTCGAGCCCCGCGCGCCGCGCCACTTCCTGGAGCGCGGCAAGGTCGAGACGAGATTGTTTGGGCCGCGGCCGCCAGATGGGCGAGACGCGTTCGCGGTGCGCGGCAGCCTCGTACACATCACATGTCCACATGTTGACGGTCGATCTGGGACTGGAGTCGCACCCGCCCAAGGCCATCATTCAAATGCGCCGAGCTGGATAGGTGGTTCCGCAGGAGTGGCTGCACGAAGGCGCCAGCCGACGTCGATGCATGCGTTGGGCTTATCTTACGACCGGCCTGAGAATGCTGACGGGCCCGCACACGGAGGACCTCGTGGGTGCTGTCTTCGGCATGCGCATGGGGCGCTGGACACCCATGCCAAACAGTTTCCTAAATGCAGAAGAACAGGCAGAGGAGCCCACTGCAAAGAGAGCCTGTGTGGCCCACAGTTAAACCAGGGCAATGGCAGCTCAGGAGGTATACGATGGTGGCAAGCCCCACCATGCCTTGGCGCAGCCGCATGCGCTCGCGGAAAAAGCCACGGGATTCTGGAATGAGATCTTGGACACCTGCCAGCAGGGGGGAGTTCAGATCGCAACTTGCGCTGGTCAGTGGGGCGCCTTGCCAGACGTCGTCGCAGGCGCGATCAGGGCGGCTACCCTGCGCCCCCCGGGGATGGCAGTCGTTGGACAGCTCGGGCTTTCGCTTCAGAACGAGTTTTGTTGTCGGGGGGCACTTGTTCATGGCGCGCGAGAGGCAGACCCAGTGGCTCAGGAACAAGGCATCTTGCAGTTTGACCCGGCTGCCGAAGGAGTCCGGTGACGGCGGGCCCTTCGCCCTCATGCATGCGCTCTTCGCGCGATGGGGGCGAGTGCGCGGGCTGCTGGCTGCGCAATTGCAGGGCGGCCATGCGCTTGAGGCCCTCTGGGGCACTGGCGCAGGGCAATCGACCAGAATAGGGATGCAGAGATATGGCGCGAGCTCGGCGAGCACGTGGGTCGATGCGTTTTCGGGCATGCTGACGTGCTACGAGACGGCAAGGCTGGGCGCCCCGCTGAGCGAGGCGAGGACGGCGGGCCCACGCTGCGCCCGCGTTGGATGGCCTTGCAAATGCAGGCGAAGCCACGCCCCATCCAATCGCATGGCGGCCTGTCGCGCGCTGCGGCTTCGCTGCGGTGTATTTTTGCAGGGCGCTCGATGTCCACCACCATGCTGGCGGTTTTTCCCGCGGCGCGCGGGTCGAAGCCACTGCGCCCCCCAAGGTCACTCTTGGGGCTCCAGTCGACGCCAGGTGGTTTCGGCGGGGGGGGGGCGGGGGGCTGTCGGGCGGGGTGGGCGGGATCTTGCCAGTTAACTATTGTAGTTATTAGTTCGCTCGTGGCCTCGGTCAAGCCGTCCGCAGCCCTGGATGAATGCCCGAAGTTTGGCCTTGTAGCCAGCGCGCCCAGGGCCGCTGAGACAGCTTTCGCGGCGCGCTAGTTCGATGAAGTTGGTCTCCAAGAAGGTCGCGCGGAACCACTGGCACGAAACCAGCGGACGCGCGTTTCGGGGCTCCAAAAACTAGCCAGAGCTCGCAAGGCTTTGAAATGCAAGGCTAGGCTGGCCAGTGTAAAGAGAGCGGTCGGAGGCAGAGTGCTCGCCTGTGGAGAACTGGATTATTGCCCGCAGTCGCCCATGTCGCAGGAATCCCAGGGGCATCCGACATCGCCCCCCGCCCCCCGCGCACGTTTGCTGGAGGCTTTGCAGGGGTAGAGCGGTCCTGCATTTAGTTGCCCAGATTAATGAGAGGCTTGACCCGTCGTTCAGCTCGACCGCTGCTGCGGCTCGTCGGTGCGCCCCTTGGGCGTGGCGAGCGTTTTGCTGACAAGCCCGCGCGGGATGGCGTTCGGGGGCCAACTTTTTCCATTTCCCCCCCCTTTCCAGCCGCGACGGGCGGTGGGCGGAACGCGATGTCACCTAGTGCGTTGGTTAGCGATCGCGGCAAGCAGGTCGGTTTCATGTCTACGCGCCCTTCGGATGCTCAGCGGCTTCTCGGCCAGCGGCCAGCGGGGCCCATGTTCATTTGTGGGGCAGCGGGGGCCCGACCTGGTGGCTGCCGCGGCGCGCGCCAGTTTTCTCGCCATCAATGTCGCTGCCCTTCGGGGAGCTCCCCGCGCAGTTTGGGTGGCTGCAGCAAGTTTAAAGCACCCTTGTCAACGCATGCGGTGGAGTGCTTCTCCGCGTCTCATGGGCGTCCGCTTGTGTCGCCCTTCCCTGCCGAGCCAGAGCCGGCCTTGGAAGCCTTCGGGCGGGGGATGATTGGTCTGGCTGTTGGGGTCGGTGGGTCTGCGCGGACGGGCATGGCGTGGCGCCAGCGGTGGTAGTGCTCGCGAGATGTGAGCGAGCCGCCCCCGAACTGTCGGACGGCGCCCCCCTCCGAGCTGCGCGCGGCCTGCTCACTGGACGGGCGCGCGCTGCACTGCGTTCGGAGCCGTAGGGAGGGCCAGCAAATATGCTTGTGCCATCACTGGCCATTTGGCTCTTGTCAGAGCGGGCAACCGCAGGCGCCCGCGCCACGAACGGCCTGGATCAACGCGCGCGAACGTCTGGCGCAAGGCGCACAGTGCGCACGGAGGCGCCCGACCGACGCCTTTCGAATGGGCGCCCGCGAGCAAGGGATTTGGCAGTGTGCCAGGAGACCCAGATGCGCGTTTCGTGAATTCTGTTCGTCGGCAACCATCGGGCTGCCAAGTTTTCGAGACGGATAGGTAAATTTGAGGCGGCCCCTGAAATCCTGGTGGAGTTCAACTTCAACGCTCCAGGCTGAAGGATGCCAAGCCCATTTGGAGCTGGTTTCTCTTGGGCGGTCTAGGTCGTGGCATTGAAGTCCGCCATGCTTGGGTCCAGGAACGCGCCGCCGGGCCGTCGTGCACGCGAGACCCCTCTACCCGAGCTTGCGCTGACCCAGCGCGAGCTGATGGCGCGCGCGGCGGGCGAGCGACGCTGCGCGCAGTGCAGTCGGTTCTCGCGCGCAGCGAACTCTTCGAGAGCTCTGAGGGTGTCGGGCCGTCACGCCCACTGCGCAGCAGGTTCGAGCAGCGGCCATGTTTTTCGAGTTCACACCAGATGAGCATTCCCTTGCGCGTGCCATGCCTGCCGCCGAAGAGGTCATACAGGCGGCGGGCATGCTGCCACCCCGCAGCCACTGTCTCTGGGGTGGCGGTTCAGGCGGTGGAGCGAGAGGTGGGGCGGCACCGAGAGATCGGCCATGAGGCCGAGCGCCATGGCCGAGTCACCATTTGCCTCGAGCGCGGCTCCTTTAACAGGGGTGCAACCCTAAGATCCTCAACTCGTGCCAAGGCCCTTGTAAGATTGTTTCGATCAGGAGTACAGAGCGGGAAGGTCCAAGTTTCGAAAGCCTGTTCCGAGGCGTCCATCCCAGGATTCGGGCCCCCTTGCGATTCCTTGGCCGCGCCTCGTCCTCCTGCTTGCCAGCAGCCACCTGTGCAGGTGCCGGGGGCCTCCACCCTTGTAGGCGGAGAAGCCTGGCGGGCAGTTCGCTCGCGAGGCTGGGGCGGCTCGAGGAGAGGAGGACGAAGTTTCCCTCGTGCGACCTGCACGCGCTGCCGCTTCTGGAGTCGAGCGACTCCAGTTAGTAATGTGTTTCTGGGCCCCGCGGTGCCTCCCCATTTGGCGGTCGTGTCAGTCACGGCGTTGTGGTTTCCCCTCGCACCGCCCGTGCGCCCGTGGGTCCGTGCTGCTGTCTCGCGGCACTCGCAGCTCATCTGCGTTGTGCAGGTGCGGCCCCCCGTTTGCCCCGCTGCGCCTCCCTTGTTGTACTACGATGGCGTCCGGCACTCGGTCGCCCCTCTGCAGTCAAACCGCAGAAGAGGGATGGGCTTCTTTTCCCAAGGGTACCCTTGCATCCTTGCCTCCTCGGTCCATCCTCGGCCACTGTCGTTGGCCGCGCCCACGTCGAAAAGCGTCGAAATGGGCGCCCAGGGCCCTTGCTTTCTTGTCGCGCATCCTTCTGATACTGGCCGATCGTACTGCCCCGCAGCCCCCCACACTTCCGCCCCCTCCTCTTTGCCCGTACACCAAATAGAGGCGGCAGTTTGGAGCGTACTTGCAAAAAAAACGACTTCACGCTTGAGTGAACAAATCAAGCGTAGTTGGCGCAGCAAGTACTTGAGCAGGGCGGCAATAAACAGAAAAGAAAAGTGCCCCGAGGGGCGCCAAGTATGCGCCAGCCAGGCGGAGTGAAGGGAGCTCCTCCCCCTCATCCCCCCTCTTCCCCCTCCCCCTCCTCCCCCACCTCCCCCTCCTCCCCCTCCTCCTCCTTCTCCTCCTTCTCCTCCTCATCCTCATCCTCATCCTCATCCTCCCTCCTCCTCCTTCCTCCTCCTCCTCTTCCTCCTCCTCCTCCTCTCTTCCTCCTCCTCCTCCTCTCCTCCTCCTCCTCCTCCTCCTCCTCCTCCTCCTCCTCCTCCTCCTCCTCCTCCTCCTGTCCCTCCTCCCCCGTCCTCCTCGCCCCGATTTTCTGCCGCCCGCCCCAGGATATGGGACCACGACGACGGCCGCGAACACTGGGCGCGCGGCATCGTGACCGCGGTCTGGCACCCACTGCCCGGCCCACATGACGCGGAGGGCCTCTTCGCTTCGGGGGAGGCTCGCGGGCTCGCACGGCCCCAGGTAGCTTTCGGCCTCCCGGGGCCCTTCC